GATGGCTGCTGCTGACGGGGGAACCTAGGCTCCCCAGATGAGAGTGACCATCTTCAGGGGATGGAGCAGGTTTCCTATCTGGCTCTCCAGGAGGGTGAGAGCAGAGAGTGAGACCTCGGGGGAGTCACACAAGGCCACATTTTGTTCACAGCAGATAACAAGGCCAACTCATACTCAAGGGGTGAAGAAATAGAGTCGACGAAGAATTTATGGCCATTTTAGATCCATTACCAAGAAGCAGGCTACGGGGCTACATGTGAGGCTTTGAAAACAGAGAGAAACTGGGATTCCAGGGGGTGCCTGCCTGATGGTATCAGTTGCCTGTTGCTGCTTCTCCAAGGCAGGGTCCTAACAGGCTTTGGATGAAATTCTTCTAAGAGTGGAAAGTAGGATTCCTTACCGTGGTCTGTACTACAGTGGAGTAGGCTACATACAGAGCTGCTGGGTCCCCACTTAGGGCTTCTGACCCTGCCCCAGGACACACTGCACCAGACTGCCAGCCTTCAGAGAGGAGAAAGGGACTGAGCAGCACCACTCTGGGTCTCTTCATGAGAGGGAGATACAGCCTTCTGAGTTGTAGGTGCATTATTAAAAAAAAAAAAAAAAAAAAAACTAGTGTGGATTTTAAAATGACTTCTTAATATGCTCAAATTGGTCTTTTAAAAAAATTTCTCTCGCAGATTGCCAGCAGATGGATCTGGGATGTTGCTTGGGACAGCTGGGTAGAAGCGAAACACGAGACGGAGTCTTATGTGGCATTGGCCTTGGTATTTGCTCTTTATTGTGAATAGCTCCTTACATGTACAAAAAAACAGTATTCTCCAACTTTTCAAGAATAAATGAAATGTGTACATTTGTGATCCTCATAGTTCTGATCAGCTACATTCTTTCTTCAATTGAAGCTTAATTGTTTTCTTTTAATGACAAACATGCAAAAGCTAGACATTTACACTTGTGCTTACTGGTTATATTTATTAACATTATATTACCCCAAAGTAGTATAAGAGGTGGGTGTAGGTGCATAGGGAAATATTCATTTACTAGTTTTTTAAAAGAAATTAAGATGCAGTCTTGTAAAACGTCTAATGAAGTAGATATCAAGACACATTTTGGAAACTTGTAAGGGCAGCTTTGCTTTGATGATTTTTTAATATTTTGTATTTGTTCTTTTGAAAGGAAAACCAAGTTGGAAAGAAAGTGTTAATGCAATTAGTTTTTCACCAACTAATAGTTTCCCTCCCCAGTCAGAATGCTTACAAACGTTTGGTGCTTCCATCCTTTGTCTGTTAAGCTGTTTTTAGATACCAGAAGTGAAAAACCTAACATAATGGAAGAAATAGAAACATTTTATTTCCCAAGCCATTCAATCAAGGATCCGGTTCTTTCCTCTTCCTGCTCATCTGTCTGACCTGGTGGGACGTTATCACCTTCCTGTGACACCACCAGGGATGGTTCACTCCTTGGCCTGGGCTGGAGGACAACTTGGGAGGACGGAACAGTGTGAGAAAGTGGTGCCCTGTACCCTGGGGACTCCTCCCGTGGGAAGCACAGAGCGCGCTGGAGGGAAGCAGGCTGAATGTCTGTGCTCATAAGCAGGATTCTGACAGTTACGATCTGAACTAAGAAAAGCCTGTCGGGCTCACTGCCACGAAGAAATGGTGGGAGAGGCTTTCTTTTGTTTTGCTGGATTAGTCCACTGATGAGGAGAGGCCCCGTTGTTGCCTAAAAGCCCTGCCTCTGCACTTTGCTTCATTGGGGATCATACTTTCAAGGTTTGGGGGGTTGTTCCAGATCCAATCATAGTAGCCCATCATTATAATCAATCCTGTAAAAACTCCCCACATTCCTTTGCTCCTCTTCTTTACCTGGGAGAACTGTTCCTGAATGAACCCCATTATCATTATCCAGGCAGCTAAAGTAGACTGAGAACACCCCAAAACCAGACTAGTCTCACTCTATACCAGCTTCAGTAGGCAAACCCCACATGGTACCCTATTGACAGTTCTTTCCTGCCCCTTCGCTCTGACACTTTTTTTTCTTTATTTGGAGATTGCCCCCACCCCCCCCCCCCCCCCCCCAACTTTTTTCCCCCTCAAACCCTCTGTATTCCTTTCTTTTATTCACTTTCAGCTAAGGTCTCGCTTTGTATTTCATTAAGGAAAGTAAAATCCTTCACTTTTCCCGCCACCAGATCCATAGAGAGCCCTGCAGCTGGATGCTGTCTTCCCTGTGGGTGGGAGGAAGTGCACCCACACCTCTTTAGCATCTCCCCTCTCTGTGACACCAGGCTTTCCCCACCTGTGCTGGGGTTTCTTGGCAGCATGCAAACATGCAGCACCTCACCAGCCACCCTTTCTCTGATACCTTTTTACAGGCTTTCAGACTTGTCTTTTTTCTGGCTCCAGTTTCTAGCCTTCTATCGCTCAAGCCTATTCAATCTAGTTTCTGAAACCACAAGTCTACTGAAGTCCAGTTTGCTTAGTTCCAAGTCGTCAACCACAGTGGACGTTACTTTGTCCTCATTGTGCTCAACTTTGTGATTGACATGGTTGACCAGTCCTTCTTTCTGAAACACTTCTAGGGCTTCCAGTACCTTGAAGGTTAGCTATCTTCCTTCTCCTTCCCCACGTTACTTGGGTTTCTTCCTCACCTCTAGCTATATCTTCCATGTGACCTCATACAGTTTTCTGTTTGTCCCCTCCATTACTGTATTTCCAGTTTCTAACTCAGAGCTTCATTTAGTAAAAGTAAGGCATTATTCGGTGAATGAATGATAACTTCCATCCCCAGCACCTAACATAGTTCTTAGTTCATAGTTGGTAGGCCATGAAAAAATTTTTTTGTGAAATAGTTGGACATTATTATCCTCATTCTACAGTGAGTCAATGGAGGGCCCGAGAGGTAAAATCATTTACCTCTGACTTCACAGACAATAAATGAGTTGTGAGACACATTTCAAATTCTATGTCAACCCTGATGGTTTGGTTTGTTTTTTTGTACCAAGGATTGAACTCAGGGGCACTTAACCACTGAGCAGCATCCCCAGCTCTTCTTTATTTTGAGACAGGATCTCACTGAGTTGCTTGGAGCCCCCCTAAATTGCTGAGGGTGGCTTCGAACTCTGGAGCCTCCTGCCTCAGCTTCTGGGATTACAGGCATTTGCCACTGCCATCCGCTCCCCACCCCAACCTTGACTTTTTCCTAGTTGTAAGTTTTCTCCTATCTAAGCTGCCTGTACATACAATTATATGTTTGTATCATTCTCTTTGGAGGGGAAACTGCCCCAGGTGGGGGAGGCAGGCAGCAGGGATCTAATCCTTATGGTGTTTCCTTCATACTTTGTTTTGCAAGGTGAATCAGTAGTCATTGACTTGTAATGATACGTTTTCAATTCATATTTGATCTAGGGAAAGAGTAGAACCAAATAACTGAATACATTTTTTTTTTTAAACTATGAATTTATCCAGAGAATCTAACAGAGGTTCCTCCTGGTCAATGAGGAGAACTGTGGGGAAAGATGCCCTTTCTTTGTGGCAGGTTTCTTTGAGCACGATCTACACACTCTCGGACAGAGCAGTTTTGACTCCATCCTTCTTCCACGGACTTCTGGCTATTTTCTCAGGTGCGTTCTTTGTAGAATCGGAAGCTGGTCTGTAAGAAAGCACACACCAACTGGAATGAAGTTTAAGGGTTATCAACTGTGGGCAAGGCCGTCTCCCACAGCATGCAAGTGGGAAAGGTGGGAAAGGCAGGAAAGGACAGGCTGAGGCTAGCTGTATCTCTGCGAAGAGCCGGGGGTCTGCGCCTTTTGGACTTGGTAGGCCATCAGTGAGCGGCTCCCAGGAGAGCAGGCGCTGCGCTCTGGCTCTCGGCCTCCTCGGTAGCCACACACAGGCCCAAGGATGGAGTCCCCTCAGGCCAGGGGATCCAGAGGGCCTTGCATGATGGGGGGAGGGGATCCAGTGGGCCTCACACGACTGGGGATGGAGCCCTAGGAGGCCCGTGGACACAGAGTTCCTCGCAGGATTGGGGAGGGCCCCCAGGCAGGACGGGGTTCGTTGCCGCCCCAGCTCTGGCACATCCTTCTGCACCGCTGTGTGCCTGCGCCTAACCGCAGCGCCGAGATCCAGGTGGACTAGGGCGGACCCTGGCTCCCGTCCTCTCCGCACGCCCCCGGCTACCCCTGAGGTGCCCTCCGTGGCGACGCCAGCTACGGTCCCGCGGCGCGGACGCTGGGGTGGGGAGGAACCCAGCAAGGCGTCCTCTGGGTGCCGCCTGGGGCGACCTCGCCCTTCCGCCCGCCTCTGCAGCGTCGTGAATCACCGCGCAGCGGACAGCAGCGGCCGAGAACAAAGGTGCCTGCAGACTGGCCGGGGGGCCGGGGGGCGGGACGCGGGGTGGAGGGGGGGGACCCGGGGCGGGCGGGGGACCTCGGGGGGGAGGGGGCGGACGGAGGCGGGACCGGTGGAGGCGGGGCGCCCGGCGGGGGCGGGGGCGCCGGTGGGGGCGGGGCGGGCGCCCGGCGGGGGAGGGGGCGCCGGTGGGGAGTGGGGAGTGGGGAGTGGGGAGCGCGGGCGGCGGGGCGGCTGACGCG